TAGGATAACAAATTTGGACATTTCTAAGTTATGTCGCCCGAAATGCTAAGTTATGTGGCTCGTAATTTTATCACGCTCAACAACTTCCTTGCATCCTTATTACACATTTATCGCGCTTGTTTAGTCTCATCGAAGATTAAAGAACGAGATATGGTACTCATTTATCGCGCTTGTTTCGTTGTTCATCAAGGGTTAAAGAGCGAGATATACATGAATTACACATTTATACCGCTTGTTTCTTGTCATCATCGCTAAAAGAACGAGGTATGTTACACATTCATTCCTCTTGTTTCGTCTCATGATGGCTTAAAGAACGAGACATGTTAAAAAACACACATTTTCACGGTTATTTAACAAAAATTAACCTTGTTTCTCTGTGCGCGGGCGACATGATTCAGCAGTTCGGGCGACTTAACTCGGGTTTCGGGCGAAATAACTTCGGGCGACTTGACCGGTTACCTTGCACATGAGCACATATCGACATTCAAGTCCTAGCACCCCCTTGCTTGGGGCGAAGAGACGGCTGACACATGAGACCACCTGTAGCTCAGTGGTAGAGCATCTGGTTGACTAGTAACCAGAAGGTAATACGTTTGACTCCTGTTGGAAGAACTCGGATTTTTTCTCCAGTACCGCCTGTGTCACTGACTGAAAAACTCGTCTTCTTCCTCAAATTCGGACCAACTGGGCGATGAAATATTTACTTACGCAAGGAGTTTATGTATGGTCGGTCGGACGCAGGGTAAGTATTGCTGAAAGTGTGTATTTTCAACTACATGTTTTCAACAGCATTTTTAGTGTCAGTCTACTCACTTATACGAGGTGTGATCGAAAAAAAGGCGAAGCAAAAGAGATCGAAGGGCCTCTGCTCGCAGGGTATACCGCACCACAACACAACAACCGATCGAGAATGGTTTGCCAACTCCGTGAAATATCTGATGCCTGTGTTCTTTGTAGAACTTTTCAATGCATGCTGATGCATTCAAAAGGTTGTTTACTAATAACTTTTCCATGTGGCGTCAGCTAAGTTGTTACTTTAATATCTACGATAAAGATTTAGCCAGGGCTAAAAGCGAAGCATTCGATAATATTTATAGTTTGCTTAAACAAAATATAAAATCGTGTAATGCTAAGCGGCGAAGGAAACGAGGACGGTGAAAAAACAACAATAAGGTCTAATTAGCGAAAAGAAACTTTGCACGTGCAGCACACTTTTTTTGTACATTTCTTTGCCGTTGTTTTGCACGACTACAACGTGAAACTTCCAGAAACTTCCCGTTTTATGGAGGAAATGTCGTACCTGTTCTTGTTCACTTTCTTTTCACTGCCGCTCATTTTCACCTTAGTTGCCGCTAGCATTTCTCATTTTCTCACCGCCGCTACAAAATTTTCATGTTGTTCTTCAAACAAAAAGTGTCTCCTTTATTTTTTATCTCTCGCTCTAGCTCTCTTTCGCTCTTTTTCTCGTTGAGCTTCGCTGCCCTGCCGCCTACTTTCTCTTTTTCTCTGTCTTTCTCTTTCTCTGTATTCCAAATTTGTGGACATGACTATTAATCTAAGCGTAATACTTTAGACAACACGGATGCAGAAACAATTTCCGCTTTCCGTTTTCGTCTTTATTGACTCTTGAGTTGTCTCTGCTTCACAAGACGCGGTAAATAACCTGGAGTCGCATTTGGGTAGCCGTACCTGTTGATTGAGTTATTTTACATTGGTATGTCTGTGGAGCGGACGGACGGGCGGTCGGTCGGACGTACGGTCACGTGATTACCTGAATTTCTCAGATGGGTAGATTACCACCTTTTCTTATGTATTGGGTTGTCTTGCGCGCGTGGAGCTCCGCTAATAGACCTTTTTAGGGCCTGTTTACATGGAGGTGGGGGACCCCAGGTAGGTGAGGTAACCCGCTTCGGTGGGTAACCCGCTTGTCCACATAATCTCTCATTCTAATTTGATCACGTTTGCATGATAGGTGGGGTGACCCGCCGCATGTTACCTCACCTATCTGGGGTCCCCCACCTCCATGTAAACAGGCCCTTAGCTTGTATGTTTTTTTCTCATTGCAAACCATTTGATGTTACCCTATCCAATTGTTTCTTTCAATTATCGCGCTATCCACGTGCGTATTTCGCTATATCCACGTGCGTATGCGTACACAACTAATGAAAAGACAAGAGGCGCATTCCCTTGATAACATCACGTGGTCTGAATTGGGAGAACAAAAACCTACAAACCCTAAACGTCTATTAAACTTTTTAACGCACGTGCAATTGCCGTTGCCTAAATGCACGTGGAAGCCAAAGAGTTTCTTTGAAGCACGTGCTGAATTGTTTCCCTGCTAATTAAACCTGCAAGCAGCTGTTCGTTTTGTGCCGATTGAGGGTCTCGCCTTGGAGTAGTGGTTGTCTGCGTCTTTTCAGGAAATTAAATTTTACTAACTCCACTCAAACTGAGTGTACCGGATGGCTTCTCGTGTCGGCACCAAAAGTTATCCGATGTAGTATGAACAGTAATGGCGCACAACTGGAACAAGCCGTTCACACACATTGAACATCGTGCCGGTGCAGTTGCCCAAGAGGGTTTAGTGGGCTAAATCCCACTCGTCACTCCTAAATTCCAGTCCTTTTCCCTGCTACCGGGTAATTCACTTCCGCTACGATATGTGACGGTCCACTTTCGAGATCGGCGCGGCACTGCTCCAAACCGTTAGAGAAATCGCGCCGAAATCATCGTTCTTAAGTGTAAATAGAAAGCCCTACCTGGTATGATTTTCGTGCCAGCGCAAAAGCAATCCGGTTAAGTGTCGACAGAGCGGGAAAGTCTTTTGGACTCACAACATCTTTTTTGTGCTAGGTCATTTTAAGGGCAAGTTGTGGAATAGATTACCCAGAGTTCATCGAATTTCTTGACGCTGTCGCAAAGAGAAGGATTTTTACCATGTCAGAGGCAGGTTTCGATTGGAACCGCGAAGGAAAAGACCGCAAAGATCAGACTTCTTTGAAAACCACAGACTTCATGAGCTCCGTTTTTCAAGACTGGAAAAATTCAGTGAAAGGTTTCGAAGGACAGGAACAGCGAACTCTAAAGGACTATTGCAGATATGATCTCATAAAGATAAAAGAATGCCTCATAAACGTGAAAAGTGACCATTCCTTTATGGAATTGCAAAATGAGGATCTTCATCTCAAACTTGACAAGCTACTTAATGATATTGACAAATGTCTAAAGAAAACAGAAAGATAAGGCACTGATTTCTGTAAAAAATGTTCCTTGTCATCCAGTTAGTCAGAATACAGCTGAATTCAACCCAAGTGTACCTGCTTATTTTTCCTTTTTTGTGGAGAAACAAAATTCAGACAAACCTAGCGAAAATGAGAAAGTTGTCAAACCTACCGAAGAATTTGCGCTGTTTCAGCTTCATCGCTATTCCTCGTTCAATTTAGCCTGCCCAACGGACGTTCTTCTTTTGCGTTTTTCAGACGAGTGAAAGGCAAACACGAAGCGCCGAAATACGTGAAAAAATAGCACCTGTTCTGCAGGCTAAATTGAACGAGGTATAGTGATGAAGTTGAAACAGCGCCAACTCTTCGGTAGATTTGACAACTTTCTCATTTTCTCTAGCTTTTTTCTGGAGTTGCGTTCTAAAGGACTGTATCCAAGTTCAGAACAAGAAAAAGAAAATCATTGCCTTGTGTTCACGTTGTTCACGTTCTTCAGGAAATGTGAAATTAGGAAGTTCCACGTCGTGGTCGCCCGACGACGGCAAAGAATTGTACCAAAAAATGCGTTGCACGTGCATTTCTTTGTCGTCGTTGCACGACTACGACGTTGTACAAATACTACGTGTTATGAAAACATGAACTCTTGCCGACAATACCTTTTAGTGCGGTCTCTAAAGGTAAGGTACAACGGGCAACAAAAAACATGCAACTTGTCTTGCGACATTGCTGCAAAACGGGCTGAATAGCCATGTTGCGTGTTTTACCACCCACATCAAACCTTTCTTGGTTGTTAACGGGTTTGAACGAGGGTGGTTAAACGCGCAACATCTGTTTTCAACTCCTCCTTCGCGAACCATTTACTTCGCTTGGCTAGAAGGATGTCCCGGCTTAGGCCCTAGCTAGGCCTAGGCCTTAGGTCACCCTTTTGGCTCATTTATGGCGCACCAAACTTCACATGGGTTTGGCTGAGGTTGAGGTTACGCAGCGCAGTAACTAAATTTATTATTGGCTTCAAATCATAATTTTTTAGCCTTGAGATCATATTTTTCTTGTTCCCCGTCATTTCCTAAACTTCTTCCCCACATCTGATCTTTTTCCTTAAAGAAGAAAACATTCTAAAAATCCTCATGTAATGGGCCAAATTCGAGCGACGGACTTTTATTATGTCGAGGCATTTCATGGATCGAGTGAAGTCTAGGCGAGATGCATACAGTACGTGTTGAAGTGACGCTAAAAATGAAGCGTCCAACCATAATTCCTCCTAAACAGGAAATATTCTTAAGAATTTTTATGGATGAGAATATCTCGAGTTCCCGTTCTCTAATCCATCTTTTGAAACTACTGTTTGATGTGTTTCATGTTGTGAATGATTAGCTTGAACACTGTGCACTTGTCGAATGTCTTTTCCTCGGTTCATTTTTTATGACAAGAGTGTCATTGTTCAATTCACCTGTTGTAATATCGATCAAATGTTCTTTTTCGAATCGTAGTAAAAACGATTTGATTGTACGACATGGGAAATTAAAAGGTAGCTTATTTCCGGTATTATATGTTATGGTCACTATCCAGAGTTTAGTATAAAGCCCAAAAGAATTTCCTCAGAACAACTACATTTAGATTCGCGTACATGGATTTCACAGACGTGACAGGTGATTTTCGTTCACAATTTCTCGTAGAAAAATGTGCATTTGAATTTCGTTCCATTGACTTTGGACGCAGCAACACGATTGGGCGAAACGAACACCTTTGTGTTTTCTGCGATCTGATTGGCTCACGAAAATGAAAGAGAGTTCGTCATTTCCTCTGCATGAAAACAATCCCGTTCACCCGACAAAGCAAACAGCTGTGAGCTGAATGGTCTTGTGAAAAGCTTGCGATGTCGTCTTCGAAAAGGCCGAGGCTGTGCACCGAATACTACCGCAAAACCAAGGCGAGCTCTTCAAATACACAGAGCAGCAGTGCGAGTAAGGAATCTACTTTTTTTGGAACGTGATCCAAATTGAAACGGCCATGTTTGCTTTTTGAGGAAGCGGTTTGTAACGGCAGATTTGAAGGGCTTACAAGCTCCTGTTCTTTTGTTTTGCTTTAACAGGGAGAGGCAAACCGCGAAGGAAATGTAACGCTCAAGAACATTTGTTTCTGGAAAACGATTGTGAAGCAGAAAAAACTAAGATCGAATGGAGATCCCAGAAGTCATTTGATGTGAGTTGATCGATCGATCGCTTTCTAAATCGAGCGTCGGGCTTCTGCATCTTTCACGCAATTTTTAGTGGCTTTGTTGTTACAGGGCAGAATGGCGTCGAAACTGTGGATGGTATTTTTTTTAAAAAATATCTTGTGATCAAAGCTGAAATCTGCGGCATTTTGCTCTAAATTTTTATCCTTGGCCTTTATATTTTTAGTCAAGCCCATCGCATCTGACAAGAAATCAAGCTAAAACATGTCTGAGATCACAGAGCTACGTGGGTAAGCGAACTAGATCTTCCAACCAATTCAACGCAAGGATTCGGGAGCAGATTCGACAGGAAGGTATGGAAAACACATGTTTTTATCCTGCTAAAAACTAAATTTCTCAATAAATTTCCGATATCAACCGTATCATATTGTAAGCTGAATTTCTTTGTTCAACTCTTTTATTCGAAATCTCTTTGTTGAATATGCCCCCACGTGCCTCTTTTAACTTCAATTATTGTCTGTCACGAAAGAGTTGAATGGAGAATTTTACATTCAAATACGTTCAGCGTTGGTTGAGAAACGTGGTTCTATCAATTAAAATTATTGCGTAAAGTGTTAAAATTATTTAAATCTGAACAGAACAATCCGTGACACCTCAGAGCCAACAAGGTATGAAATTGATAATATAAAATGTTTGCAAAATGTCGAGACATTTAAAAAACTATCAGCTTTAAAATCTACAATTGTGGTGCCGCTGAAAGCAGGATTTTAATCTGCGTGGATACTGTAGGTTATCGATCTTAAAGTGTCGGGATATTTTACTTCTTAAATTAAAAGATAGGATGCAAAATTTTCTTTACAGTTTTTTTTTAAGTTCTCTTCCATGTCATGTATTGTGTAATTTTCATAGATTCCACTTTAAATGGTAGGGCAAATATATCGTAGTCAACGTCCAATAAATAAGGTTTTGTTATCTTGAGAATCTAGTACTGTTAAAATATCAAAATTGTTATGAAATTTGAATGTCTGCCAAAATTTTATTTATATGTTTGATCTTAGCTTCAAGTATGATCAACATGTGATAGGCAGAAAACATGCCTGACTTGGAAAAAAATATATTTTCCTTGTGAGCTGTGACACAGTTTTTATTTTTCCTGTTCATTTTAAAATGGATTGAACTCAACATTGAGTAATGTTGCCTTTGGCTTCTAATATCAAATTAAAGCCAATGAGAGGTTCAAAATTATTGAAAGATGGAGAGCTTCTGGTCGAATTAAAATGCTCAGATCCCAGGTTTGGAGGTGGGGTGGGGTCAGGTCGGTATAAGGGTCAGCGTTGTCATCTGTTTTTGGTATGAAGCAATATATTTATTCATGTCATTAAGCTTGAGGACATTTTATTATTTATTTTTACTTTGCGGCTGACTGCAATTGAATCTCCTTCCATTGTTTTTTTTTGGGGGGAGGAGGGGGTTGGGGGAGGGGAGGGTTAGATGAAAAGGGCTCTCCTTCTCACCAGGCCCTTCATTTTTTTTGTCAGCTAACATTGTATGACTATCAGTAAAAAATGTGATAATATTCTTAAAGGCTTTTCTCAATTAATCGTTGTTAAAATACACTAAAGCTTACTGACTCCCTGTTCTCTGTTTTATCACGATATTTAACAGAGAATTTAGAATGCTATATTGAAGCAATCCCAGATGAAGTGTTGCTGTTGATATGCTCCTATCTAAAAGAGAAGGATTTGTGCAGATTGGCGCAGACTTGTTCACGACTCAACACTTTAAGCCAGGATGGATGCTTATGGTTTGTAGTGAAAACATTGTAGCACCTATTATCAGTAAACTTATTTTTTTATGTAGCGTTCAGTCGCCCCTCATTCTAATAATATCTTTCCAGGATAAATTAAGTTATTTTAATGCTGACTTATTAAAGTCCATACAGTAAATTCACTACTTCTTAGAACCATCTGTCACAGTTGTGGCCCTTGTTTAATCAACAAACCTTTGTTGTAGATGCGGAATTGGGCAGCTGTTTCTAGTGAGTAGTGATTTAACCAGATTAAATCTCAATAGCACTGGGCTATGCTGGAGCACAGTCCTCAATGACTGACTCTGACCAAGGGCTACCTTTAAAATAATCAACTTACTAATGTTTTTACAATGGCAGGTTGACTTTTTGTGTTTGACAAAGCTGATTGGCCAGACAACCAATGGCTTATGACCCTCTCTGGTTTTAAATGTTGTTGGTCTTCTAATGTCGCTTTTTTTGTCTACAGGCGATCCCTTTACAGTCAAGTATTTGACATGAGGAAGCCATTAGTAAAGACATTTGAAGGTTTTTACATTGAACAAGAACCCAAAGATGACTTATGTTGGAAAAAATGCCTTAGCTCTTTGTATCGTGCTCATCATGTTCACCCGGCCCTAGCAAAACAGAAGAAACTAAATCCTACAAGATTTACAGGAAGGCAAATCAAGGTACATTATGTGTATGTCACGTTCAATCATGTGCACTAGAACAGGTGAATGGACATTGAAGCTAAAAAAAGTGAGCTAGTTGCAAGCTATAGGGGCTTAAGATTGTGAAATTGAAAGTAGCTGATTAGAAGTCACTCCATATTTACCCTAGAGGTTTTTTAATTTGAAAAAGTTGGCCCATTTTTTTATCAAGTTGTAATCTGCTCTTATGCTAGCCACCAAGGCCCAGTATTTGTTTGAAAGGTGGACTGCACTATCCACAGGATGATGCATTGGTTTCCCTAATATTTATCCACTGGATAGTGATTTATCTGCTGGATAGCTTATCCAATGTTTGAACAACCGGGGCTAGAAGACAAACACTTATGGTTGAGTTATGGTTGTAGAGTAACTAAAAAAAAGAACTAAATCATTACTTCAGGGTTTTCTTTGATTACAATGAGTTTTAGGATTTTAAAGTTATGCCAAAAAGTTGTGACGTAACTCCTTAAAGGTGTTTTCAAGACACCTCTTGCAAGCCTACACCCATGCTCAGTCTCAAGGGTGTCCTTTTGAGGAGGTCAGGCTGTAATTTTGAGCTCTTTCTTCCTTCAGTATCATGAAACCATTAATGAAGCTCTGGAAGCAGTCCCTTATGATGGAGTCATTATAGTACATCAGGGTGTGTATGATGAGCATCTATCAATCAACAAGCCTGTCGCCATTATTGGAGCAAGTATGTGGAGTAGTTTTTTGAGTATTATTATTCTCTTTTGGAGTCATTTCAGTTCAGATTCTTTGATTAAAGTTTATTTAGTGCTTAGCCTAAAAAAAAACAGCTGATAGTTTGCGACGTCACCACTGGTTTTCCTGTGAACTGACAGCTGATGAACAAGCGCAAAATTTCCATACTGATGGTGTGTTACTACCCAGATCAGGGTAGTGCTTCTGATTAGTTGTGCAGCAAGGGAAATTTGCTTCATCCAATCAGAAGCTCTGCCCAGATCTGGGTAGTGACTCATCATCAGACAACAGACAGAATACTCACTCTCCGCCAGAATTTCTGGACTCCTTCCTCAGACTTCTTTTTGCAGCGAAACCAGTGTTCATGTCACAAAATGTTGGCTGTTTTCTCAGGCTTAATAGTACAGAGTTAGAAGTTTTTAAATAATTTGTATTTTCTTTATCATGACAGTTGGAAGTGATGAAGTGGTCATTCAGAGCAGTTCTTCAACAGTTGTCAGTTTCACTTCAGGATCTTCGTGCGCCTTCTTGGGGCATCTCACCTTAAAGGTTTGTATCATTAACTTTAAGTAAAGTTTCTATTAACAGTTGCTATTATAATATTCTATAATATTATGACTGAGGCCCTGAATACGTAATTTTTTAATTGATTTTAATTTGTTGTAATTTATTTACTCACCGAACACTTGGGAGTTCTTGAGAATTCATTGTAACTGTTCCATGCATTCGAGATCGAATTGGAATTTGGAAGTGTTAGTTTTTAAGGAGAGGGGAAAACCGAAGTACCCGGGGAAAAACTTCTCAGAGTATGGGAGAGAACCAACAACAAATGTGTGACGCATTGTTCTGTTACTAACCGAACTACTTCCTCTACATGTTTACTTTTATCAGAACTGTCCTTCCAGTGAATCACAGCCAATCAGATTAGGTTGTGTAGAGGTTGTAGATGAATGCTCCCCAACAGTCTACAACTGCAGGCTTACCAGTCTTGCTGATGGTAAGAATTGAATGGTTTCAGAATTTATGGTAATTATATTTCAAGTTTATTGCCCTAGTGATTCTTTTGTATGGGGTAATAAGCAACAGCGCAGGAAATGCCATATAATATTAAGGTTACTACATTATAACACTTCAGGATTTGATGATGCACAGACTCAAATTTAAAGTCAGAAACATCTTACACAAAACAAACTGCACCACAGGAAAATGCTGTTCATTAGTTTATTTTGTGATTTGATTTAGGAAGTGATCCACAGACTCCAAAGCTAAAATCACCTTCTACAGCGTAATAAACAGTACCAGGGGAAAGTACTGCTCAGTAGCTTTCATTTGAATGGTCACACTACAGACTCAAAAGCTAGAAACACTTTGTACAGCATAATAAACACAACCACAGGAAAGTACTGCTCAGTAGCTTTCAGTTGAATGGACAGACTCAAAACTTAGAACCCCAGGGTTGTCACTAAGATTTCAAGTTGCCAGGTAAATACAACAAGTTGGGGGAAATCAAACAGCTAGGGATTTCTTTCAGTTTTGCTTCTACTTTTCTTCTATTTTCCTTTGAAAGTATCCGGCGGAAATCCCCAGTCCCTGCCTCTTAATGACAGCCCTCGAACCCCACTAATTTAAAAATGTGTTTAAATTGTTACTGGTGATGTTTTGTTATATTTCTTGTAGCCGGTGCAACAGTCTATGTTCACGGTAGAGGTGCAAGACCCACCCTGTCACAGTGTGTTATATCTGATTCTGAAAATGTTGGGATCTTTGTCACGGATGGAGCCCAGGTAGGAAATACATGTACCGTAATGTTTAAACCATCTAATTTTGATATGCCTGATGTTAAGTTTTTTAAAATACGAAAACGTCACTTAAAAAGTGAATTCGCCCTGCTTCAAGCTTTATCGCGCTTATTCCATCTCGTTCAATTTATCAAATGTTGGCAATTTTCTCTGGAGTTGAATGCTAAAGGACTGTATCAAAGTTCAGGAACAGAAAAAGAAAGTCGTTGTCTTGTGTTAACGTCCTCCACAAAACGTGAAGTCAGGCAATTTTACGTCACGTCGTAGTCTTGCATTGACTATAGGGACTTTAAGATCCAACGACGGGGACGGCGACGAAAACGTCATAAAAACAATAGTTTTATAACCAAAAAAACAACTTTGCACGTGCATCACGCTCGTTTGTACATTTCTTTACCCGATTTTGATAAAGTAAGTGGGTAGGAATAATTGCGATAAAGACCGAAAGAAAGCAAATTCACTTTTTAAGCGATATTCTCTTTGCCGTCGCGTCGTTGAATCTTAAAGTCCCTTATGAAATAATACAAAAACGCGTGATGCACGTGCAAAGTTGTTGTTTTGTTAATATAAATCTATTGCTTTTTTTCCGTTCCTGTTGCCGTCGCTAACTCCCTTGTTAATTAAAAGACAGGAGCTGCCAACAGATCTGCAGGTCAACTAACTGTGTGATTTACTTACAGGGAACGTATGAAGACTGTGAAATAACAAACATGAAGCTTGCTGGTGTCTGGGTGCGTAATCATGCTAGCCCTGTCATGCGAAGAAATAAAGTGCATCATGGACGAGATGTCGGCTTCTTTATCTTTGATTATGGACTGGTAAGTGAATTTACACATTGCTTTTAAAAGTTCTTTGTGTGTTCTGCTCATTATCCAGGAGTCAGTTTCATTTAATCTATTGTGGCAGGATTCCATTACTGAAATTCAGAACTTTGATTTACCACTGTTATTTTCCAACGGTAGCTTCATTACGGACACAGTGTCAAGGTAAGGATCCGTGTCTGAGCCGAAAAGGTCAGCAAGTGCAACAATCAAAGCATCTGCAATCTGGTATATTTGCGAGCTGTTTCGCAAAGACAAATTTTCTTGTCTAGAAAGTGAATTTTTTAAGCTCCCTATTAAAATAGGGAGCTTAAGCAACGGCGACGGCAACGAGAACGGCGAAAAACAAAAGAACAAATTTGCACGTGCATCATGCTTTTGTCAATGTTGCTCGACTACAACGTGACATTTCATAGTCATGCTCACGTTTTATGGCGGGCGTGGACACGAGACAGCAATTTTCTCTTTTTTTTCCCTGAACTTAGTTACAGTCCTTTAGAATTCAACTCCAGAAAAATTCCTCAACACTTGACAAATTAAATGAAATAGAATAAGAGTGCTAAAGTTTGGAACCGTCCGAATTCAATTTTCAGGTGACGTTTTCGCTGCCTTTGCGTTCGCGGTCGCTTAAGCTCCCTAATGTTACCCGGTCTGAAATCCGACAAAGTATCTGCGTTTTTCTCATAGGGTTATTACGAAGGTAATGATGTACACAATAATCGTATCGCTGGTTTTGAGATTCGTTCAGGAGCAAATCCCACAGTGGTTGGTTGCCGGATCCACCATGGTATGACTGGCGGGATCTACTGCCATGATGACGTAAGTACATGGTCGTCGCCGAGCGTGTGGTGGCCGTTGAGGGTCCCCAACAGGTTTTTTCGTGATCCTGGATTTCTGTTATTTGGAGATCGGGATTCGGGATTTTTAAGCAAAATGGGGATCAGATTCGGGATGCGGGATGCGGGATGCCGAAAATAACCATCGAGATTACAGGATTGAGCGAAAATTTGGTTCGGGATGACGGGATTAAAGAGTCCTATTGAGGACCCTCGCTGTTGTTGTTTTTGCAATGCTTTGCTCTATAACGGTTTTCGTGCCTACACGAAAACTATATCAGACATGGCTTCTGGTCACCCATAAAAACGATGATTTCGGCGCCATTTCTGTAACGGAACGAAGCTGCGCCGCGTCGATCTTGAAAGTGGATCGTCACATATCGGACAGGTTCGGTGCCACTCTTCGTCTTCTTAAGTCTGCAGAACAACGATAATTTTCATTCGGTGACCTTGAATACGCGCAGTCTTAAACTGAAGCTAGTGTTAAACGAGGGGGCACGATTAGACGAAGTCCCCACGTTGCGAATGCGAGAATTTGCGCATTCGGCTTGTATTGTGCCATACAAGCAGGTTGTTATAGAGAAAAGAAAATAAACCTGCAGTTTTTGAAGGCCAGTGATCTTTGGTTTAGAATTATTTTGTCTTTTGCAGGCTCGTGGAGAATTTCTTGAAAACAAAATTTATTCCAACACGTACGCTGGTGTCTGGATCACGTCACAAAGCAACCCAACTATCAAGTAAGAAACCCTCGGTGTTGTTAGTTTGTTTTCTGTCCGATCATTTAAAACATAAAACGAAGGTTCACTCTCGTCTTTTCTTGTTTTAGAAACAACGAGATTTATGACGGACATCAAGGAGGTGAGAAATTGTGTCTTGTCTATAGATCGCTTCTTAAATTAGTCTAAGAAATATTTTTTTTGTTTAGATTATCGTTGCTTTGTTATTGGGTATGGAAATATCGCGCCCTTTTCTCAACCAATTTTGGAAAATAAAGAGTGGTTTTCTCGCAAACAGCAGTGGCGGATCCAGACCTTCAGATAAGGGGGGACAGGGTCATCCAGACCCTGAGATAAGGGGGGGGGGGGGGGGGGATTAGTAAAGACATTTGAAGGTTTTTACATTGAACAAGAACCCAAAGATGACTTATGTTGGAAAAAATGCCTTAGCTCTTTGTATCGTGCTCATCATGTTCACCCGGCCCTAGCAAAACAGAAGAAGCTAAATCCTACAAGATTTACGGGAAGGCAAATCAAGGTACATTATGTGTATGTCACTTTCAATCATGTGCACTAGAACAGGTGAATGGACATTGAAGCTAAGAAAAGTGAGCTAGTTGCAAGCTATAGGAGCTTAAGATTGTGGTATTGAAAGTAGCTGATTAGAAGTCACTCCATATTTACCCTAGAGGTTTTTTAATTTGAAAAAGTTGACCCATTTTTTATCAAGTTGCAATCTGCTCTCATGCTAGCCACCAAGGCCCGGTTGTAATTTGAAAGCCTGATCACACTATCCACAGGATGATGCAATTGGTTTCCCTAATACTTATCCACTAGTTCGTGATTTATGTGCTGTATAGTTTATCCAATGTTTGAACAACCCGGGCTAGACGACAAGCACCTATGGTTAAGTTATGGTTGTAGAGTAATAAGAAATACAACTAAATCGTTAATTCAGGGTTTTCTTTGATTACAATGAGTTTTTAGGGTTTTAAAGTAATGCCAAAAAGTTTTGACATAACTGCTTAAAGGTGTTTTCAAGACACCTCTTGCAAGCCTACACCCATGCTCAGTCTCAAGGGTGTCCTTTTGAGGAGGTCAGGCTGTAATTTTGAGATCTTTCTTCCTTCAGTATCATGAAACCATTAATGAAGCTCTGGAAGCAGTCCCTTATGATGGAGTCATTATAGTACATCGGGGTGTGTATGATGAGCATCTATCAATCAACAAGCCTGTCGCCATTATTGGAGCAAGTATGTGGAGTAGTTTTTTGAGTATTTTTATTCTCTTTTGGAGCCATTTAAGGTTCAGGTTCTTTAATTAAAGTTTATGTAGTGCTTAGCCTAAACAACAGCTGAAAGTTTGCGATGTCACCACTGGTTTCCCTGCAAAATGACAGCTGGTGAACAAGCGCAAAAAATTTCATACTGATGGTGTGTTATTACCCAGATCTGGTTAGTGCTTCTGATTAGTTGTGCAGCAAGAGAAATTTGCTTCATCCAATCAGAAGCTCTGCCCAGATCTGGATAGTGACTCATCATCAGTATGGAATTTCTGCACACCATCCTCAGACTTCTTTTTGTGGGGAAACCAGTGGTCACGTCACAAAATGTTGGCTGTTTTCTCAGGCTTAATAGTACAGAGTTAGAAGTGTTTTATTGTATTTTCTTTTTCATGACAGTTGGTAGTGATGAAGTGGTTATTCAGAGCAGTTCTTCAACAGTCGTCAGTTTCACTTCAGGATCTGCATGCGCCTTCTTGGGACATCTCACTTTAAAGGTTTGTATCATAAACTTTAAGCAAAGTTTCTATTAACAATTGCTATTATAATATTCTATAATATTATGACTGAGGCCCTGAATATGTAATTTTTTAATTGATTTTAATTTGTTATAATTTGTTTACCCAAGGAGCACTTAGTAGTGCTTAAGAACTCGTTGAGATGTGTCCGTGCATTCCAGATTGAATTGGAATTTGGAAGTGTTGGTTTTTGAGGAGAGGGGAAAACTGGGGCAGAGAACCAACAACAAACGTGTGACATATTGTTCTGTTACTAACCAGTCTACTTCGTTTACATGTTTACTTTTATCAGAACTGTCCTTCCAGTGAATCACAGCCAATCAGATTAGGTTGTGTAGAGGTTGTAGATGAATGCTCTCCAACAGTCTACAACTGCAAGCTTACCAGTCTTGCTGATGGTAAGAATTGATTGCTTTAGTGATTCTTTTGTCACGGTTAATAAGCAACAGCACAGGAAATGCCATATTAAGGTTACTACATTATAACACTTCAGGATTTGATGATACACAGACTCAAAATTAAAGTCAGAAACATCTCACACAGAGCAAACTGGACCACCGGAAAATGCTGCTCATTAGCTTTTATTTATGATTTGATTGCGGAGTGATTCACAGACTTAAAAGTTAGAACCACCTTGATATCGTATTATTTGTCATGGTGTCCTTTCATGACGAGTCATCGAAAGTAAACTTACCAGTGTGAAATCCTAAAGTAGGTGTCTGAGTTTTCAATCTTGGTGGTTGTACAACATAATAAACAGTACCACAGGAAAGTACTGCTCAGTAGCTTTCATTTGAATAGTCACACTTAAGGATTTCATCCACAGACTCAAAAGTTAGAACCACCTTGTACAGCATAATAAACAGTACCACAGGAAAGTACTGCTCAGTAGCTTTCATTTGAATGGTCACGCAATCTGCCACAGACTCAAAACTTAGAACCCCACTATTTTAAAAATGAAATTTAAGGATCACTGGTGATGTTTTGTTTTATTTCTTGTAGCTGGTGCAACAGTCTATGTTCACGGTAGAGGCGCAAGACCCACCCTGTCACAGTGTGTTATATCTGATTCTGAAAATGTTGGGATCTTTGTCACGGATGGAGCCCAGGTAGGAAATACATGTACCGTAATGTTTAAACCATCTAATCTTGATATGACTAATGTTAATTTTTTTTAATGGGCGGTAGGTTAGTACATTACGTAACAGGGCTTAGGCCTCTGATGGTTTGAGATTGTTACTTACCCATTGTGTGAGTAGCCTGTGAAAACAGCCGTTTCTCCTTGCTCCTCGCCGTTTGGGACGTTTCGCCTGGAGAGACGTCTGCGCCTGAGCGAAAGAAATCTATCGTGATTATTCCAACTTGCTTACTTTGTCAAATGCAAGCGAAATCCTCTGGAGCTGAATTCTTGAGATCAATTCCAAGTTCAGATTGGTTGTTGTTTTGCCTATACAACCTACTGCTATTTTTATGTTCTCTTTGCCGTCGCCCTCGTGGCATTTTTAGGGAGCTTAAGCAACAACAAAGGTGACGGCTACAAAAACGTCACTTAAAAAGTGAATTCGCGCTGCCTCAAACTTTATCGCGCTTATTTCATCTCGTTCAGTTTATCAAATGTTGGCAATTTTCTCTGGAGTTGGATTCTGAAAGACTGTATCGAAGTTCAGGAAAAGAAAAAGAATGTCGTTGTCTCGTGTTCACGTCCTCTATAAAACGTGAAATGCAGTGACGGCTAAGAAATAATACAAAAAAGCGTGATGCACGTGCGGAGTTGTTGTTTTGCTAACATAAATCTATTGCTTTTTTGCCGTTCTCGTTGCCGTCGCCGTCGACGTTGCTTAAGCTCCCTTTTAATTCCCTTGTTAATTAGAAGACAGTAGGCTAGCTGCCAACAGATCTGCAGGTCAACTAAATGTGTGATTTACTTACAGGGAACGTATGAAGACTGTGAAATAACAAACATGAAGCTTGCTGGAGTCTGGGTGCGTAATCATGCTAGCCCTGTCATGCGAAGAAATAAAGTGCATCATGGACGAGATGTCGGCTTCTTTATCTTTGATTATGGACTGGTTAGTGAATTTGGACACTGCTTTTAAAGTTCTTCGTGTTTTCTGCTCATTTTTATGTAATCTATTGTGGCAGGATGCCATTACTGAAATTCAAAACTTCAATTTACCACTGTAATTTTCCAACGGTAGCTTCATTTCGGACACAGTGTCAAGGTAAGGCGATGATCCGTGGCTGAGCTGAAAAGGTCAGCAAATGCCGCATTCACAGCATCAGCAATTTGGTATATTTGAGAGCTGTTTCGCAAAGATAAATTTTCTTGTCTAGAAATTGAATTTAATAGGGAGTTTAAGCAACGGCGACAGCAACAAGAACGGCGAAAAAACAAAACAGCAAATTTGCACGTGCATCATGCTTTTGTCAATGTTGCTCGACTACAACGTGAAATTTCATAGTAATGCTCACGTTTTATGACGGACGTGGACACGAGACATCAATTTTCTCTTTTTTTCCTGAACTTAGGTACAGTCCTTTAGAATTCAACTCCAGAAAAATTCCTCAACACTTGACAAATTGAATTAAACAGAATAAGAGTGCTAAAGTTTGGAACCACCCGAATTTAATTTTCAAGTGACGTTTTCGCTGCCTTTGCCTTAGCGGTCGCTTAAGCTCCCTAATGTTACCCGGTCATGAAATCCGACAAAGTATCTGCGTTTTTCTCATAGGGTTATTACGAAGGTAATGATGTACACAATAATCGTATCGCTGGTTTTGAGATTCGTTCAGGAGCAAATCCCACGGTGGTTGGTTGCCGGATCCACCATGGTATGACTGGCGGGATCTACTGCCATGATGACGTAAGTACATGGTCGTCAGCCGAGCGTGCAGTGCCTGTTGAGGGTCCCTAGAAGGTTTTTTCGGGATCCGGGATTTCCGTTATTTGAAGTTCGGGATTCGGGATTTTTAAGCAAAATGGAGGTGAGATTCGGGATTGATCGCGTTCACGGGATGCGGGATGCCGAAAATAACCATCAGGATTACGGGATTGAGCGAAAGTTTGGTTCGGGATGACGGGATTAAAGAGTCCTATTGAGGACCCTCGCTGATGTTGTTTTTGCAATGCTTTGCAAAATTTTGGTTTTCTGTGGCCATTTTCTTGCTACAACGTATGGCTTTCGCGCCGACACGAAAACTCTATCAGACATGGCACCTGGTCACCCATAAAACGGTGATTTCTGCGCGATTTCTGTAACGGAACAAAGCTGCGCCGCGTCGATCTTGAAAGTGGATCGTCACATATCGGACAGGTTCGGTGCCACTCTTCGTCTTCTTAAGTCTGCAAAACAACGATAATTTTCATTCGCTGACTTTGAATACGCGCAGTCTTAAACTGAAGCTAGTGTTAAACGAGGGGGTACGATTAGGCGAAGCCCCACGTTGCGAATGCGAGAATTTGGGCTTTCGGCTTTTATTGTGCTATACAAGCAGGTTTTTATAAAGAAAAGAAAATAAACTCGCAGTTTTTGAAGACCAGTGATCTTTGGCTTAGAATTATTTTGTCTTTTGCAGGCTCGTGGAGAATTTCTCGAAAACAAAATTTATTCCAATACGTACGCTGGTGTCTGGATCACGTCACAAAGCAACCCAACTATCAAGTAAGAAACGCTCGGTTTAAGTAGTTTGTTGTCTGTCCGATCATTTAAAACATAAAACGGAAGGTTCACTCTCGTCTTTTCTTGTTTTAGAAACAACGAGATTTATGACGGACATCAAGGAGGTGAGTAATTTTGTCTTGTCTATAGATCGCTGCTTAAATTAGTCTAAGAAACATTTTCTTTTTGTTTAGATCATCGTTTCTTTGTTATTGGGTATGAAAATATTGCGCCCTTTTATCAACCAGTTTTGGAAAACAAAGAGTGGTTTTCTCGCAAACAGCAGTGGCGGATCCAGACCTTCAGATAAGGGGGGACCCGGTCATCCAGATCCCGAGATAAGATGGGGAGGGTCTTAAAAAAACTTTTCTCGGCTCTTCGGGCCTCAGTTTGGTCCAAAAATAGGAGGGGAACACCCGGGCCCCTCCCCCCCTGGATCCGCCACTGAACGGTGCCAGGGATTCATTGTAAACGAGTAATTATTTTGTTTTATTTCTATTAGGTGTTTATGTATTTGGCGAAGGAAGAGGACTGATTGAAGGAAACAATATTCACGGTTAGTAAAAATAAGTTAGACTCGTCATTTATTTCCACATAGTTACAGTACATATAAGTATTTCCATAATCGTACGATTAGAAGGGTACTCTGTTCGCTTGAAAACCGTGCTAGGTGCTTTTCTGTAGTTTTGGGCGGGGTACAAATCTTATTTCCCCCAAAGTTATAGCGGCCAATCGTATCTCGAAGTAAAACTACATGTGGTATGCTTGAACCGAGGGAAGCGCGTGCGAAAAAGTCAAAATTGCATGGTGTTTACTGTCAATTGTGAAAGTTACACTTCCTTTCTAAGTTCGTAACTTAATTCAGCATTTTGCCCAGCCGGTTGAACACAATTTCTAGCTACTTTTCTGAGAGCTCGCTTGCCTGAGGAACACACCTTGTATCAAGCTTATCGCCACGGATGGCGCGAATTTTAGTTAAGTGTGGAAACTCTGTGAAAAGCAATGCACCTATCAATGTAAACCCCGTGTGTGTGTGTGTGTGGGGGGGACCCCCCCCCCCCCCCCCCCCCTGCCCCCACGGGATTTACATTGATAGGTGCATTAATTTCGTCACTGCTTTAGTTTGTCCTCGCTTCGCTTTGTGATTGGCCGCGAAATTTCGCGCCATTTTCTCGACCAATCAGAAGGAAACCAAAATCCACTGTGGCCTGTCAGCAGGCGTTTTCCCGCGCTTGGCGCTCGCGAGATGTTTTTAAATTTTCTGGAGTTTGATTGGCTTAGTTGATTGTTTACCTTTGCTTCGATTGGTCAGAATAAATTCGCTTTGGTTTTGATTTTATGACGGTGAAAACCACTGAAAAGTTTCACTTTGTTTCAGACAATGCACTTGCTGGGATTCAGATCAGAACGAAAAGTAACCCCATCGTCCGTTGCAATAGAATACACAGCGGACTGCACGGTGGAATCTACGTGGTAAGTAGAGTTTATTTGCGTTTCTTGTTTGGTTTTCTTAGAGGGATAACTTCCCGTCCCTTCCCAACCCCTCCCTACTGCGATGTCTTCCCATCCCTATGATATATGAATATCGCCTGCAGTTTTCGTCAACTACTTAGCGACAACACTCTGTTCTATAAACAATTTTCTGTTAATTGTTATGTTTTTCCTTACTTTTCTCAGCACGAGGATGGTATGGGGCTTATAGAGGACAACGAAATTAACAACAATACTCTCGCGGGTGTCTGGATCACTACAGGTATAAGGCGACATGAGAGAATGTCCATATAGCTTAGAGGCTAGAAGATCGACTCGGTTATTGTATATGGGTTCATGATCATTTCCTGTCAAGAACTACTCGTTTAGTAGTACTGAGTTTTTTGTCGCTTGCTTGCGATTAGCGAGTTAGCGGGGAATTCGAGTTATCGTGGTAAATTTCAGTGAAATTTTAATCAAGGGAAAGGATATTTAGTTCGAGTTAGCGGGGAATTCGAGTTATCTGAGTTCGAGTTCTCGAGGTTCTACTATAGTATCAAAGAAGAAAATGGATAGGTCTGTAGAGGATAAGTTAGTGCAGTAATGTCTCCGTTGGTAAATAATCGGATGAGCTTTTTGGCGACCTGACGTGGTTGTACGGTATATCGTTTGGTGTCCTCGGAAATCCAGGTTTAGAGCTGGTGGAGACAAAAATATACGGACACTTTTGGATTAATAATGGAAGAATTCAGATCTGAAAATACCAGTAGGTCATTTGACAGTGTCCGACGAAATTATTTTTTTTTGTTTGACGAAATCCTACCTATGGTCTGACATGATGATCGGACATTGAGTTATAGGGCGCTTTCCATTCAACAATAATTCCGGTTTGAAATTTCGGTAATTCCACGTGCCCAGTGGAACGGTACATTCCTGTTGCACAGACTCGACCCAAGCCACTGCGCGTTTGGTTATAATATTGTTTTTGTAAGCAGGATACAGAAGAGCGGTACTGGGGACAACAATTTCGTCAAATGAAAAGGGACATTTCGGTCCGAGCGACCGAAATAGAGTACCGGTCAAAGTGGGCCACCTTCAAAGGTATTCCGGTCGGACCGAACCGAAATGGTCTGTTCCAATTGATGTCCAATCGAAATTTCCGGAATTTTGGGCTGAATGGAAAGCGCCCAAAATATGCTTAAGATTATCATTTTGAAGCTGAAGAATTCTTTTGTTTAAGAACGCGGAGAAGGTTATGGAATAATGCGTTTTTGTTGTTGTTGCGCAGGAAGTACTCCAACACTAAGACATAACAGAATACACAGTGGAAAACAGGTAGGTATGGTTATTTAAGCGTAGGATAACTGAACCGCAGATTAAGAAAATTTAATGGCCTTTGCGAATTGTGGCTAAGTTAAAACTTTAGGTTGGCCGCAAACTGTTCCGTGACGGTAGAGTATCTTTACCCTATTTAAATAAATTTAAGTCTTCATACGCTGCTAACTGTCGTAATAACGCACACGAAGAGTTTTTTACTCCATAAGCAAGTAATCCGATTTCCTATGGTGTTAGATTACATTCCATAATAATATTTTAGACTTAAGGGCCATGTTTACCCAAACTGCTTTGCACGATACCCTGATTTGCGCGTAGGCTGAAAGTCTGCAAAAGGCTTTTCAAGCAATTTATTATCAAAACGAATCATCTACTTCATCTCGCTTAGTTTCGACAGTTATCGTGGATTTCGCGTCGCGATGGTTCACGTGACATGTAGTTTTATTTTCATACTATATTTCAATATTTCAAGACACGCAAAGTAGTTTGAGTGATCATGGGCTCAAAAATCTTGAGCTGAAATTCACTAAAAATAAACAAACTAAACAACTAAAACATAAATTTTCAACTGTCTTTACCTTTTTAGTAAATGCCCAAATTAACTTGCACGCTCTTTTATAAGTTTCTTTTTATAGTCAAGCACGTAACCCAGTTCATCTACACCCTTACTAAATTGACTACATTGAAAGAGCATCCAGCACACGAACGACAGACAATATTTTTTTTGTTTGTTTGTAAAATGAATACGAACTCATCGACTAAATGAGCTCCCAGTTGTGTACCATACACAGCATAGTTATGAAAGCTGGCAAGAATCTTTGTCGAAAAGAAAGTTGTTGCCGTTTATTTTGGGAGTTTCTTGAACGGATATGAAGATACCTAATTATTATATGTTTTGTTAGTATCCTTCTTGCCTCGTTAGGTGGTTAATAACACATTCGATCTAGTCCCTCCTCGCTTTTTTTTGGTTTGAAGGGTATAACAGTACTGTATTTTTACTAAATGTTTCCTCTAACCAACATCGTTCCGCTTCAACTACAAAGAACATTCAAAATTAAACATGAGCGCAATAAAACCGAACCTTTCCCCTTACAACTGGTTCTTATCACTCATACAAAAAGTTTAAAATGGCACAAGCAAAATCCTAGTTCTAGGATAACACAACGACCGTTTTATTTTTCAGAAAAAAAGACGCAGTAGGACTGGGGACGAACAACTGCACTTGAGGTTAACGCACAAACTTAAATCTGGTCTAAAGCGGTTTAACGAGTTAATGCTAAACTTAACGTTAATATTTTTGTTGTAATATTGAAAAATAACTTGCACAAATGGTAACACCCTTTGTATAAACATCTTGCACGAAAGCCTTACATAAAAAATGTCCTTTTAAACTGTAAAATAACGTCTAATTTTCCTTTAATGCAACTTGATTCTAAAAAAGTTAAATTGTGTTATTCTTCGAACAAAGCTAAATATTAAAATTTCTTTAAGAAACAAAACTGTTAATGGTAAAATGGTCATAAAAGAATTAGGTAAACAGTTAATTAAGTTTAAAAACGACACTTTTTTTCTATATCTTTGCTTAAATGGTATACTGTTAAACGAGCGCGGTTTTGTTGGCTGAGAACATTATGGTAGAGTATTACAAGAAATACTTAATGACTGGTCCCTAAGGAAACAGTTAATTTTGTTTCCCGAGAATCTCCCTGTTTCCGTTTCCCAAGACGGGGCCGAGGGAAACATTGAGATTCGAAGGAAACAAAATTAACTGTTTCCCGAGGGACCAGTCTTTAAGTGATTTGTTATATAGCTGGAAATTTTGAAGCTGGAAATTCATTAAGCCTCGCTGTATAAACGGCGGTCATCGGTCAGCAGTGCACTGTTACCCTCTGACGTCACAGAATTTTGCAATGTTGCCCGCTCAGAGGTTTTGGCGGGAAACAGTTTCATTGTTTGATGTCATGTGACCTCGAAGTAACCAATGAGAACGCGCGCTGTTGGGAAAAATTTCCAGCTATAGAACAATACATTGTAATAATCGATTAACGTTTTACATCTTTGAGATGCAATAGCTCGGGAATTCTTGTCAAAAGTTTATAAAAATGATGTGCGATTATCGTTTCTCAGAACCAAATTTCAATTAAATTATTGGAAGGAAAACAGAAGAGTCCCTTCGAACCTCCACAAGCGGGTAACTTCCCTGAGCGGGCATTAACTAAGTCATTGTCCGTCAAGCGGTTTTCCTGTGATTCCAAGGTTGTCCGCTTTTTGCAGTAGCTTCGACTGTATTATTTTTGGCGATCTCGAAAAACACCATGTCAGAAATTGAAAATGTTACCCTAACTTTTCAACACTCAAAGTATTGAGCGTTTTTTTTATCGTTTTCAGGTTGGAGTGTATTTCTATGATGGCGGCTGCGGAGTTCTGGAGGAAAACGAAATCTTCAATCACAAGTACTCTGGCATACAAATAAGGTAACAGTGGTTTGCTAGTACCAAAGTGAATCATCAACCAATGACGATCAAACTAATCGTGACACGCCCACTCTCGCTTTCCCAAGCTTGGCGCCAGCTACACACATAAGCTTTACGTTCTGACTGGTTTGTTGGACTGTTTGTGTGATGTGATTGGCTTAAGTAAACAACGTTGACTTTGATTGGCTAGTTATTCACTTGAGTTTCCCGCGCTTTATGCCAGCGGCGTGTTTTAGCGTTCGTTTTGATTGGTCCATCGTCTGCGTGCGCTGTCTGTGTAGTGATTGGCCAAAGTTGGTTATACGTCATATACGTGAAAAAAAAAAAAATTCAAAATAGGGCAGGAGTGCCTCCTTTTAGAACAACCGTGTATTTTAACAAAGAAAGTTAAAGCTATTCTCTTTCCTTGTTTCAGGTCTGGCAGCAATCCCTGCATAAGAAGGAACAAAATCTGGGGAGGACAGAATGGCGGAGTGTTGGTCTATAACGGAGGTAATACATTGGTTTCTTATGAAAAAGAACCAGTATGTGGATGAGCTACCTCTAATTTACAACTGACAAAAAACCGAACTAACGGTTACGTTGTTTACACTTGGTGATTTGACTAGCCGTATTTTAAGTTCTTAGTTCTTTCTATGGTACAAACTTGCTGTTCCATTACGAGGTTTTTTTCAGGAACGACACTTGGGGAATTTCACAGTTGAAAACAACATATTTACCTTGGTGACTCAGCGAAGCACAGAAAAATGTTTGGCCGTGAATTAAGCCTTTTATGTTGAGATAATTTGTTTAGGGGAACAGAGAATGGGCACCATTACTTGTAAAAAAAAACTTGCAAGTTGAGAAGTGTGTGTTCGTGTGAGTCATGGCGTTTATTGCTTATTTCTAGGCCTTGGTTTGCTTGAAGAGAACGAGATTTTTGACAATGCAATGGCGGGTGTTTGGATCAAGACTGAGAGTGACCCAGTTCTCCGAAGGAACAAGATCCATCACGGCCGTGAAGGCGGTGTCTGCGTGTTCAACAGCGGAAAAGGTGAATGCGAACCTGATAAGTATGTCTACAGTGGCCAAATTGAAAATGTCACGAAAAATTCAAATTTCTTCGAGTAAAATCCTAAGAAATTACCAGTACTGTGCAAAACTTCTGCTAATGAATGGTAACACCATAGCATTTTGACACAGATTTAAATCTTGTAGTGACGAATAACCTCGATATAACTTAATTTAGGAGTATAAAGGTCAAAAAGTGCAGAAGTTGTGAGCGGGCTGCCTTGTTAAAGGTTGAGCTCCTCAGCTGTGAGTATCGCGCGAAAACCTATCACGAGAGCGATTCTCGTGGTCAAATGCTTCCTAGTAATATAAAGGGCTGAAAAATCGAAATGAACCCTTTTAATTTTAACAGTGGATAAAGTGAAAAATACGCAAAAAATCCAAATTTCTCTTTGTAAAATCCTAAGAGATAAAAAGTAGTTTGCGAAAGGTGCGCCAAAGAGGTTTCGTTTGAATGTATGGCCATAAAAGGAATCATGTGACATGTAACTGACTTGGCACTTTATTTGTTTCAGGTATTTTGGAGAATAACGACATCTTTCGAAATGCTCTCACGGGTAAGTACGCATCCTTTTCCATGTTAATGTAAGCCAGATATGATGTGCCCTCTGATTGGATGAATTCTCTTTCGGAAAGAATGTTTTGAGCAGAATTTTTGTCCTAAAAGAAGCAGAAATCAAATTGGATTACTCCAGGAGAGCGCAACTATTTTGCTATTTATTTGTGTTTCGGAATCTGTGTATATGATTGGGAAATACCAGACATTTCTTCCAATATATTGGACTAGTTATTTAAACGTTGTTTAGCCAGTGTTTAACAAAACCGCGTTCCAAGCCATTTTCAATTTGCCCAACGGTTTTATCTAAACACCATTTATTGTGAAACGTTTTATGAAGGCATATAGAGTAGACCAGAAAAGCATTTATCTTCTTGAAATAACCCACTAAGGAAGAGATTTGGAGGATAAAAGATTGGTCAAACCGACTTGCTATTGTTTTTAATGATATCGTCCGCTGATTCCTGTACTTTCCCCCCTGTAAATAGGAGTTCTCATCAGTACAGCCAGTTTTCCAGTGCTGAAAAGTAATCGCATATTTGATGGCGGTGCTGCAGGAATTGAGATTACAAACAGTGCAGGTAAGACACCTGTTTTACTACCTACTCCTCTCTCCGCCTTGTCTTTCACACCAGACTACGAGATTACGAGAACGAGATCTTCTCAATCCAAATAGTGAGAGGGGAAAACCGGAGTACCCGGAAAAAACCTCTCGGAGCAATACAACAAGGGAGAGAACCAACAACAAACTCAACACCCACACATGGTGTAGGTAAATGAGCCTATAATAGGGGGAGTGGAGGGTGGGGAGCTTATAAGCGGCAGTTAATGGTATTCGATAATTGTACGTTTGCCAATGTCATCATAAAACAAAGCCGAATTTTTCTTGATCTTAGGTGGTGTTTTAGAAGAAAACGAAGTTTTCAACAATCGATTTGACGGGATTTGTCTCGCTACCGGCGTTAAACCGCAGCTTAACAGTAAGTATAATCTGACCCACCAACCCCGGTTCCCGTCCAGTTTATAGCTTTCACTGTGTCCTACTTACTTTCTCTTTCCCTCCCCTCCCTCAGATAATAAGGTACACAGCAATAGACGGGAAGTGGAGAAAGCCATCGAGTCTTGCCGCTGTCTGTTCCAGGTCTCTGGTAACACGTGCTACCCAATGCACGACTTCTATAGGTTAGTAAGGTGACACGTGACACGTGACACGTGACAAACGATTTTTTGAGAACCAATGAGGTTGCTAGGTGAATGAGCAGTGAAATCTAGGTGATGCAACCACCCAAGGCCTATAGAACTTAGGGCCCGGTTGTTCAAAAGTTGGATAGCGCTATCCAGTGGATAAGGATAATTAGTATATACACACTCAGTGATCTTGGTGATTCAAGCAATCTGATTGGTTCGCTATCTCAGACTATTCAACAATATTCACCTCCTAGCGAGTGGATAATGTGTGAGCTCGGTGTTTTTCCCATCTTTTTAGAGAACGATCTTTTAAAAGTCGACAAAATCCTAGGGCTGACTTCTTTTAAGGCAAGAAAATACTTGGAAGGGTTCAATACGGCGTTTTTCAATTTACTGTAGCTGAGTTTTGTGCTCGATGGATTGTTTACAACTCCCGTGTATTCGCGTAGAAGAAGCCGTTTCGTGAACTCAGCATTTTCTAACAAGAAAATTTTCGCTCAGAAATCGAAGTTTATTTATGAAAAACAAATTTAAAAGGAAATGTTTGCAGAAATTCTACGTTTCAAGTGAACAGGAAAAAGAATGATACAGGAAGACGAAGTCTTACCTCGAGCAACCGAGCCGCCATTTTTGTGAGCACTTCATGCGAAGAACGACACAACAAACCCTTTTGGCTATAAACTTGGCGAGTCAACAGAAAANCTTCTTGAAATAACCCACTAAGGAAGAGATTTGGAGGATAAAAGATTGGTCAAACCGACTTGCTATTGTTTCTAATGATATCGTCCGCTGATTCCTGTACTTTCCCCCCTGTAAATAGGAGTTCTCATCAGTACAGCCAGTTTTCCAGTGCTGAAAAGTAATCGCATATTTGATGGCGGTGCTGCAGGAATTGAGATTACAAACAGTGCAGGTAAGACACCTGTTTTACTACCTACTCCTCTCTCCGCCTTGTCTTTCACACCAGACTACGAGATTACGAGAACGAGATCTTCTCAATCTAAATAGTGAGAGGGGAAAACCGGAGTACCCGGAAAAAACCTCTCGGAGCAATACAACAAGGGAGAGAACCAACAACAAACTCAACACCCACACATGGTGTAGGTAAATGAGCCTATAACAGGGGGAGTGGAGGGTGGGGAGCTTATAAGCGGCAGTTAATGGTATTCGATAATTGTACGTTTGCAAATGTCATCATAAAACAAAGCCGAATTTTTCTTGATCTTAGGTGGTGTTTTAGAAGGAAACGAAGTTTTCAACAATCGATTTGACGGGATTTGTCTCGCTACTGGCGTTAAACCGCAGCTTAACAGTAAGTATAATCTGACCCACCAACCCCGGTACCCGTCCAGTTTATAGCTTTCACTGTGTCCTACTTACTTTCTCTTTCCCTCCCCTCCCTCAGATAATAAGGTACACAGTAATAGACGGGAAGTGGAGAAAGCCATCGAGTCTTGCCGCTGTCTGTTCCAGGTCTCTGGTAACACGTGCTACCCAATGCACGACTTCTATAGGTTAGTAAGGTGACACGTGACACGTGACAAACGATTTTTTGAGAACCAATGAGGTTGCTAGGTGAATGAGCAGTGAAATCTAGGTGATGCAACCACCCAAGGCCCATAGAACTTAGAGCCCGGTTGTTCAAAAGTTGGATAGCGCTATCCAGTGGATGAGGATAAGTATTACTGAAATCAATAGGATTTAATGGAGCCGAAACCAATTTTGGAATTGCACGCATTTTAGGCATCCTACTGATGAACAGTTGCGACACGTAGATATATATTTTTTAGCAACTAAGATAATTTGCAGTCTGTCTACTTTGAATTGCGTTATTCACTGTTTAGAGATCTATCGAGCGGAAAGCACTATCCATAGACCAAACGAACGTGGCCTTACGTTGAACTAGCCGACTAAAAGTCTTTTATTGACAAAATTACGACCACATAACAAAGAAAGTTGACGCCTTCCCGAGGCTATAAATCACCCTTAACGAGTGTTGAGGAACACTTCAAAAAAGACGAGCCGAGGACCTTGATTACCGGATGCAATCCATTTTTATCGTCACCATTTTAGCCATTTATGCCCCCTATTGGTTTTCCTGTGTTCAGTTGTGTGGTTTTTTTTTTGCAAAAATTCTGCAAGTGTAGAGGACCTATCAGGGTTTCTATTCCTATGACTTACTGGTTGGCAATCTGTTAATACTGTAAGGAGAAATTATAAGTTGATGCCTCTGTTTTTGCTTAATTTGTAGATGCACCACTTGTGGTACGTCGGAAGGTTATGCCATTTGTGTGAGTTGCGTGAAAGGCTGTCACGACGGACACGATGTAGAGTTCGTTAGGCGTGACAGGTAAGACGTTACAGTAGCGCGAATGTGTTGTCGATACCCTTACCCATTCGCCACTTTAGAAACGAAAAGGGAACTGGAACCGAGATGTGTCCCGCGATTGTTTTTGGGATTGTTACTGGCCCATTTTTTCCATGTCACTAGTAACAGTGCCAGAAGTCTATGCGAAATTAAAACTCGGCTTCAGTCCCTTCTCATTTCTAAAGTGGTCAATCAAGTTAAAGTTGTCTTTTCACGTCACAGGTCTTGATCAATTTAGGTAAACTACCCATCTACCCCTCCCCTATGTCAAAATGTAGGCTTAGGGGAGGGGTAAATGGGCCATTTCCCAGAAACCTAAATTAATCAGCAAACTTTTCTTTTCCTTCAGATTTTTCTGCGACTGCGGAGCTGGATCCAGCGGTGTGCTGTGTAAGTTAATCAGCGGAAAGTGCTTTTCAGTGGCATCCTCTCGAACGCAAACAGTACGAGTGGCCAGCGGTGGTCATACTGAAACGCAGGCGCAAGAGGAGAGTAGAAACCACTCCCTTTGTACTTCGTGACGTAATACTGGACGCAGATTAGAATTTTAAAGAAAGTAAACGACTTAAAAAACTAAAAAACAAAGTAAGGTTTAAGTTATTGGAAGAACATGCATACGTAATAAATATATCGTCCGTTCGCTTTCTTCGTACTTCGTACCCTTTCATCCATGACGCTCTGTTACCCTGCGCTAGGAAATAAATGTGCGCCTTCTTTCTTGCGCCCATTTATTTCCTAGTGCCTACTGCGAAGGCTAATGCTCTGTCAGCTGACAGCAAAAATGTTTTAATTACCATTATTTGCTCGGTGTTATTTATTTTAACATAGTACATTCTTACACAGTCTGTATACTACTCTATTCATGACTCACTTGAACGCGCTTTTACTGTAGAGTGTCAATGCAGGGTAGTTTGGAGAGAGAGGGAGCTTAGGCGGATCAATTAAGGTATCTGGGAAACTACCCACCTACCCCTCCCCTAAGCTAACATTAGCACTTACTCCTCACTTTAGGCGAAATGATGGCTTAGGGGATGGGTAGGTGGGCAGTTTCCCAGAAACCTAGATCCGCTTAGGCAAGATAGGAAGCTTAAGACGTTTTTGAGTGACGCGCGTCAACCGGAATTGAGGCCTTCTTCCTTTTAAGGTATCTTGACATTACCATATTTGTATTGCTAAGTGTAGACACGATTTGCCCGAAAATCTGGGAAAACCATTACCCAAGAATGCGAAAAGCGCAATTCCGGTTGACGTGCGTCAACCAAAAGAGTTTTTGCTCAAGTCCCCTCGAGCGGTGGCCGTACAGTACAAAAATCGATTGCTTTCCTTGGTTGCATTCGTTGATTGAGCAATCTTTTGCATTACAATAAAATGCACCACAGGAAAGTACCGCTCAGTAGTTGTCATTTGAATGGTCACACCATAGGATTTGTGAGGAAAGAACTGCTCAGTAGCTTTCATTTGAATGGTCACACTTTAGGATTCCGTGCACAGACTCAAAAATTATAACCAGTTTTTTTATCCAATTTGTTGATTCCGTCCACAGACCCTAACGTCATAGCGGCCATTTGTTTTTCAGCATAAGAAAATGATAGATTTCAACTTGGCGATTTCATTGCTCGACTAGAAGAATGGAATCATTGTTAAATAAAAAAAAAATTAAAAAATGAAAGTGAATTAAGAATAACGTCTTGAAAGTTTTCATATTTAAATCATATACTAAATCGTTAATTTAATATAACCTGGTGAACCATTTGATCTAAAGAACTATTTGATAAAAAGGCTATAACAAAGATTTGAATACTTTATTAACAGCTATATTACTTGTGACCAAGAGTCATATTTATTTATAACGTTTAGGTAGGTAAGAAGAAAAATAAACCCTATGTTAAAGAACTCAAATTAAAAAAAACATATTAGAAAACTAGCTTGCGTGGCTTGTCTTGTTTATGGGTCAAACTGAAAGGAGGTTTCATTTATTGTTTAGCTGGCCTAGGAGGAAATTTTTTTGTTATTTGTTTACCCACTAAGCACTTAGGAGTTCTTTAAATTAAGAACTCGTTTAAACGTGTCCGCGTGTTTCAGATCAATTTGGAAGTGTTGTTTTTTAAGGAGAGGAGAAAACCGGGATACCCTGTTGAAGCGGAGATTTGAACCCGGGCCACTTCGGTGAGAGGCGAGTGCTCTTACCGCTGTGCCACCCTTGCTCTCATAGAAACCCGGACTTTCTCGCAAGTCGACTTTGTTGCGCGGTGACTCAACCAAAACGGACTCCTGTGGAAACCCTGGGGAAACAGGAGAGGTTATTATTACTAGCGCTGATTGCTTACGTGAATCATCCCAGTGCAGACGAGCGAAACAAGCGGACGATCAGCGAAAAAGCGATTGAATGAGCGAGCGAAAAAAAGGCAATAAGACAGCGGCTTACATACTCCTCATCAAAGCAATTTTTTAATACTTTTTCAGGCTTTCCGCATGCGGCCCGCGCGCATCTAAAAGCCGGCGGTAAACGGTTCTGCGGTTTATCGCCATAGAGCTTGGTACGTCTTGTACTGCGTGCCAAAGACTCGAATGACAATATGGCGGTCGCAAATGGAAGGGAGGCAAGAATCAGCAGAGGAAGAAGTTGACAATTAAACCTCAAGGTAGGAGATGACTTGTTTTATTTAATGTCACGTAATTGAAAGAGTTCGAATCTAAGCGACGACGAGGAGTGGGCAATTCGCCGGTTCACGTCTCAGTATTTTCAGGTATTTTGTATATCTGTTAGCTGGATCTTGAGATAAGGAGATTGTTTTTACTCTTTTGTTTCAAATTAAGAGCTCTTGAGAGCTCTTCAAGTGATATTCAAGTTCAAAAAAAACAAGCAGCTAGACCACACTGGCAAGAAAAAGGCGCGTAACGTAAGGCTTGTTTCTTGTCAGATCTCGTGGGTTTATACAATATTAAACGGGATAAATGAAATGTCTTTACAACATTCAGTGTGGTCTAGTTATTGTTGCCCGAAAACAGGTGTATCGTTGACCTAAAAGTAATAGGGAACTTAAGAACCACGACGAAGTTCACGACGACGACGTCTGTTGACTGGGAAAGGACTGGAACGAGAACGTCAGTTTCGGCGGGAAAAAGAAAACTTAAGATGCAGTCGATCGGTAGGTCGACGACGACGACGACACTGAATGTAAACAAACATGTAGACTGTGATGTTCGTTCGCAACAAAGTTTTTTTCGCAAGGGCGTCTTTTAAGACGATGCAAGATCTTATTTTATAAGCCGTACGTCTACTTTCATTGACGATGAAGAATTTTTAGTGTTGTCAGACCTTTTCGAATGGAAAAATCTCTGCTTTCCGTACGAAGGTTATTCAACTTTCAACCTGAATGACATGACCGAGTCCGAGTGTCTGTCATAGTTTAGATTTGGAAAAAGAGACATTCCGATGCGATAGCTGTTTTCCATATGAAGTTCATTTCCCCTATATTAAAGATATATGATTTGCCTGACCTAAATACGTACAAATAAATTTGTCACTTACGAGTTCGCTCGCTCGGCCTGCACAGCTCAGTGTTGTCTTCGAAGTAAACACAATTCATCAGTCAAATTTTCAATCAACATCGCTTGTTAGGAGAAAAAAGAAAGGATACCTGGATTTACGAGGTGAACAAATACAAAGCCCTTGAAAAATCGCTTAAAAACAGGGAGTTATACCTGCCGAAGCTTGTGGATTGCAGGACGACGTGATTCTACTGTGTTTGGCGTCGTCGACGACACCACGACGACGAAATTTGTTAAC